AGTGCTGCCCCAAGTGCCTCCCAGGTGGGTGCAGCCCTGCAGGGACCCTCTGTGGGGGATGCCAGGGCCAGGGTTGTGGGCAGGGGCAGAAATTACAGCCACTTCCCTGGGCCCCAGCCCCTCTATTCCTGGGACCCCCATCATGGGAGGCCTGGAGCCCCTGGGTCACAGAAGGGCAGCCCCCTGCAGCTTTCACTTCCCACTCTGCTCACTGTCCAAGGGTCGTGGGCTGGGGGTAGAAACCCATTATGGCCAGAGACTGGGTCCCAGGAGGCCCCACATTCTTCTAGAAAGTTCTCCTTTCCCCCAAAGATGGCTCACTGTGGCCCCGAGAAGAGTCAGTCCCTGTGGCGGTTGTCACGGCTGCCTGGGCTCCCGCGGGTGCCCCCTGTTCTGAGTGTGTGCACNGGGAGAAGAGTCAGTCCCTGTGGCGGTTCTCACGGCTGCCTGGGCTCCCGCGGGTGCCCCCTGTTCTGAGTGTGTGCACCCTCTGGGCTGCAGGTTACCGGGTGCAGGAGGACTGTGGGGAGTTTAAGGACACACTGTGTGCACCCTGCACTCGGGGCACCTACACTGCCCATCTCAATCACCTGGACGAGTGTCTGCCGTGCCATGTCTGTGACCCAGGTGAGAACACTGAGCCCAACCCCGACCCTGCTGAGCCCCAAATCCCACCTTCCCAGCATGCGCATGACTGCAGGACCTCAGGCTGCCAGGGCCAGGACTCCCCCTCCTCCCAGGGGTGTTCCCTGCCGGAGATCCCTCAAGGGAGCCTCGGGCCTGTGGCCACACCTGCCTCTCCCCAGAGGGGCCTGTGCCCCTGCCCCCATCACCCCATCACCCGGGCCCTCCAGACCTTGGAGACCTATCCCCTAATAGGGCACCCCAGCCTGGGACAAACCGCCAGCCCGTGGAACACCTCCACCTGCATTGCAGGCTCTAGGGCCCCCAACCCCCAACACCCACCCGAGGGCCCCTCCTCAGGCTGAGCACTGGACCCTGGGTCACCTTCTTAGCCAAGGCAGGTGGTCTGGCCTGGGGCACACCAGGAGGAGGAAGGCCGGGACCAAGCTGGAGGCCAGATGCTTGGGGGTTCAGTGAGGTTGGGGTGAGCCTTGTGCTGTAACCAGGATCCCCCAGGGAAGCCCTTGTCTGCATGGGCTGGGCTGGGGGGCAGTCGGCACCCAGGCTGTCCCTCGGGAGAACTACCCCCACCCCCACCCCCNTCATGGGCTGGGCTGGGGGGTAGTCGGCACCCAGGCTGTCCCTCGGGAGAACTACCCCCACCCCCACCCCCAGCTGAGGGGGCTCACCCTGTTTTGTGGCTGCCACTTGACTACCCCGGATGCAGGATGGGAACCTGTCTGAGGGGTGGGCGACATGGGGCTGGGGCTGTCCTCTCGGACTCACCCATAGCTGAATGGTCCACACTTGCTGTCGGGGCCCAGTCTCCTTGCGGGGAGGTCTCAGTCTCCCCAAGAGGCCTGGCCTTCTGTGGAGAAGACCTTCCACCACCCCCCGCTGAGCACTGGCCTTTCCCTGCCTGCTGGTGGTCATGTCCCTTGGACCTTCTTTGGGACTCACCCTCTGTGGCCAGCACCTGCCAGCAGTGCCTTTTGGCTGAGCCTGGGGTGCACCTGGCAGGGTCCCAGCTGGGAGCAGAGGTGGGCTGGGGTCAGCCACCCAGTGCTCTCCCCAGACCCCAAGTAGGAGCCCCGAGCCTGGGGGCGCTGTCCAACCCTCAGTTTGGTTTCCTCCTGTGACGGGGCCCTCACCACCACCCATGGCAGTCCTTGCTGTTCCTCTGAGCTCCTTCTCTGGGATCCCAGGCATGGGCCAGGTGACCAGGCAGAAGTGCTATAGTTGGCGGAACACCGTGTGTGGCTGCGACCAAGGCCACTTCTGTGTGCAAGAGGATGGGGACAGTTGTGCTGAGTGCAGGCCCCACAGTGCCTGCAGCTCGGGCCAGAGGGTGAAGGAGACAGGTGAGCCACAGCACCCTGTGCGGATACAGAGCCCAGAGCCCAGCCCCCAGCCTGAGGGGTGGGGACGCCCCGGTGGAGCCCTCTCCGAGACACTCTTGCTCCTCAGGCACCGAGTGGCAGGACACGGTGTGTGAAGACTGCCCTCCCGGCACCTTCTCTACAGGTGGGACCCAGGCGGTGTGCCAGCCCTGGACCAAGTAGGTGATCCAATGGATGGTCCCAGGAGGGGAACCTCAGGGCTCCCCTGGGAGCTAAGGGCCCTCCCCCAGCAGAGAGACTGTGGGCCCCACCCTGCTGCACCTGCTTAAATCCTGTGGCTCTCACACCACTGGTCACCTTAGCTAAGGACCCATGTCAGCACCTTCCTGATCCTGGAGCCCAGGGTGCTGTGCCAGGGACCCTACACCTGTGTTCCAAGGTGTCCCCAGGTGTCAGGGCTGAGGGGCTTCCCTGCCATTCTGGAGTCGGNCACACCTGTGTTCCAAGGCGTCCCCACGTGTCAGGGCTGAGGGGCTTCCCTGCCATTCTGGAGTCGAGGGGGGGCATANGGGCCAGAGACCCCACACCTGTGTTCCAGGGTGTCCCCAGGTGTCAGGGCTGAGGGGCTTCCCTGCCATTCTGGAGTCGAGGGGGGCATAAAGGAGGCTGTCAAAGTGAGNAAAGGAAGCTGTCAAAGTGAGGCCCCCACTCCCCCTGCAGCAGGAACCCCCGAGTGCCGATCCCCGGGTTCCAGCTATGACCTGGCTGCTCAGAGTCTGTGGGGGAGGTTGGGGACCAGGTGTGACTGCCCCAGGGGGTGGGTGCAGGGGTCCTCTGTCCCAGCTCTCTCCGCCCTGTCCCCCCCTCCCCAGCCCTCCCTGTCCCCCACACAGGTCTTTCCTGCTGTCTGCACCCTCCCAACCCCCAGTTCTGTCCTTTGTCTGTGGCTTTACTGGTCCATTGTCGACACCAGCTCTGTCTGCTCCCTCTGTCATCCCCTTTGCTGTCCCTCTCATGTCCAGTGTCCCTGTTTCCCCTGGTTGTCCTGCCTCTTCCTCCCCCTGTCTTCCCGTAGCCGTGGGGCCTGGAGAGTCAGGCAGACCTGAGTTCACCCCCAGAGCCGCCCGCTCACTGGGCCCCACCCCAGGCAGCAGCCTCACCTCTGAGAGCCCAGCCGTGCAGGGGGACCCTGGGGCCCTAGTGAGCGTCAGCCCTTGGAGGTGCCCCTGCCTCCTGCCCCGCGTCCCCACCGCTCCTCTCCCCTAGGTGCTGCGCCCCACTTCAGAGGGAAGCAAAGCCTGGGACCAACAGCACCGATGTCACATGCTCCTACCTAGTACCTGTTGTGGTCATCCTGAGCGTCTCTCTTCTGGGTTTATGTATATCTTACATCAGATTCAGAAGGACATGTGGTAAGCCACAGCCCCTGGTCCCATCAGGACTCAGGTCCCAGCTCTCATTCCAGACGCCCTCCCTGGCTCAGCCCCTCTAATTGGGGGGTGGGGTGGGGGGTGGCATAGGGTGCCCAGGAGGGTGGGACTTCCTGTCTAAGGAGCCCTGTGCCACCAGGTGCCCACCCACCACCATACACCCCGAGCTCCCATCTGCCCTCAGCCGACAGAGAAGCACAGGGAGCCCTGAGACCGTCTCAGCAGGGGCTGGCCCAGTGTCCTTCCTTCCTGCCCTCACCACTGTCACCTGCACAGGGCGCTCTGTCTTCCTGGAGCCCCAGGGTGGGGGAGCAGGCACCGAGCCCAGAAAGGCACAGGGAGAGGGGGGCAGGCTCTAGGGCTGCTGGGGGAGTCAGACCTGTGTCCTCTCCCCATGAGATGTCAGGGCCTCCGACTCTGAGCAGCCCCAGATCCTGGGGCAGCTGCTCCCCTGGGAGGTGCTCACCCCTCTCCCTGGTCCAGGGTCAAACTGGGCTGAGTAGGGACAGGGTTTGGCAGCCGGGGAGGTGGCGGGGGTGCCCCATGTCTTTTCCCCTCTCCTGGCCCCCGGGACAGGCCTGGCAAGGAGCCCCGTCCGCATGGGTCGTGTGCCTCTGAGAGGGTCAGTCCCTCTGGGAAGGTGCAGGGTGAGACGCAGGCCGCATGGGTCCCCCCAGCTGTGGGGCTGCTCCCTGACACGCGTGTCTCTGTTTTGCAGAATTTCCGGAAAGGAGATTATGTTTTGAGGTATTGTTGCCTTTCCCCACCCTGGTGGTGATGCTGCTGGGCAGGGTGGGGGGCCCCAGTTCCCTGTGGGTGCTGAGTCCTGTGTGTACAGGGTGCTAGCTTGGGAAGGGAGGCCACAGCTCCTGCCCTTGGGGGCCAGGCTGACCCTGAGCGTCTTAGGCCCGGGGGGAGCTGGGCACAGGGTCTTCATGCTGTCTCCCCCCCTGCAGTGCCCAAAACAGCAGGCAGAAAGGGCCCCTGAAGCCGTCCAGACCCTGCAGGTCTCTAAGGTACAGCCGGAGGTCACCAGGAAGGAAAGACAGCATCTGTGTTCCCTGAGAGCGACCCAGCAGCGGATGAATGTCTTCCAGATCCAGATATCTGAGCCACTGCACCAGGCAGAGGACGAGCCTGGCCACCGCTCAGGGGACTTTGGGGACCGCACATACTTGTCCATCAAATTCCTGAGGTGCCTGGGCCCTTCTTCCCTCACCCACTGCTGACCCAGCACTGTGAGGATGCACCCACAGCCCACTCTTGGCTCCCCACCCACCTGCACCCCAGCCCTCTAAGCTTTATGGGGAAAGGGTTAAGAAATACAAATTCCCAGCTATAAAATAACTAAGTCACCGGGAGGCGGTGTGCAGTACAGGGGATAGGGACAGTGATGCCATAATAACCGTGTGGTTACAGATGATCTCTAGATGTACTGAGGCCACCACTCTGTAAGGTATGCAAATGTCTAATCACTATGTGGCACACTTGAAACTAATATAATATTGTCTGCCCACTAACATTTTAAAATACATTAAAAAGAAAACACCCACAATTCTTCTAAGCAAATAAAATGTGTCATCACACTCCCTCCCAATTCTGCACTATTTTCACATTTTGAAGTCATAAGCGAGTAAACATATTGAATTTGGCTTTCATTCTGAACATTTTATCATGAGCATTTTCTCACAATATTAAAATGCTCAGCGATCCAGGCGGGTATGGCTCCGTGGTTGAGCATGGACACAAGTACCGAGAGTCGCGGGTTTGATTCGTCAGGGCACAGGCCCGGTTTGCAGGCTCCATCCCCATAAGGGGGTGTGCAGGAGGCAGCTGATTGGTGTGGATGTTTCTCATGGATGTTTCTGTCTCTCTCACCCTCACCCTTCCTCTCGCTCTAAAAAAATTCAATAAAAACATGTATTTTTAAAAAATGCTCAGTGAACATTTCAGTTAATTGTGCAATAAAAGGATATGTGCCAGTTAAGTTACACACTAATGTGTGCGGTTTGATTAAAGAATGTGACCTGAGGATAAGTAAAACATACATGTGCTTTACCTACAAGCAGTTTACGTTGGTGAGAGGCNGTAATGTGTGTGGTTTGATTAAAGAATGTGACCTGAGGGTAAGTAAAACATACATGTGCTTTACCTACAAGCAGTTTACGTTGGTGAGAGGCTTCGAGAGTATGCATACACCCTGCTTCTCACCAGGCTCACCCACTGATGACCTTCCTGATCAGTGAGTGTCCGGGGGTCACCCAGGGGTGATGCAGTCTCTCTCTCTGCCCGGGTAGGAAGACCTCACCCTCTCCCAGTTTGTTTACATCATGGTGGCCTCATGACCCCTCATTTTACTCAATGGATTCTAATCCATGACCATTATTTGGTGCTAAAACTGTCCACAGTTTGTCCCACAAGACAGCCATCAAGAGGTGTGTGATCCCCACTCCCTGCCCTGTGAACTGAGAAATCGAGCAATGACGTCCCAGTGACAATGGTGCCACAGACCCACATGGTGGCTTCTAAAACCATCCTCCATGGAAACAACCAGAGCACTTGGAGAAGGGCTGGTCCGGGGACTGGNCTAAAACTGTCCACAGTTTGTCCCACAAGACAGCCATCAAGAGGTGTGTGATCCCCACTCCCTGCCCTGTGAACTGAGAAATCGAGCAATGACGTCCCAGTGACAATGGTGCCACAGACCCACATGGTGGCTTCTAAAACCATCCTCCATGGAAACAACCAGAGCACTTGGAGAAGGGCTGGTCCGGGGACTGGGGCATTGGGACAGGTCCTAATGTCCAAGGACAGAGCTCACAACTCGACACCTGACTTCCCTCTCCATGTGCATAGGCCCCAAAGTGCCCCCACAGGGCCCACTTGTCCAGCTTCCAACCTGAGAGTCACGTCCAAGTCCACTTACATCACTTTCCCACTGGCCCAGAGCCCCCCAGCCAGCACAGTACCTCCCCGTCTTAGAAGGCTGCAGGGTCGGGCAGCCGAGAGTCGCCATCAAGTCCCAGCCCATCTGACCGGAGCATGACGCCCTTGGGGACAAGTCCCCATCCCTTGTAGGGGATGGTATGTCTGGCGAGGGGGGTGCACCCCTCCACTGTGCCGATAGAGTGAAGTGGAGCTGCCTGGGCCCCTCCCCTGCCACAGCCGAATCTTTAACCCCTTTGGGAGCAGAAACTCCCATTTCCTCACAGTGTGGGAGACATTTTTCTTGGCCTTCCAGAGGGCGCGGGTGTCAGTCCCCCTGCACTGTTTCAAGATGCCAGTCTTGTCAGGGCTGGCAGACCCCGATCACTGTTGGGCTCACCTGTGTGGGTGACGACCCAGGGCAACACGATGGAGACTCTTTTCCAGCCAAGAAGCATCATTTCTGTAGTCAGGAGGGTGCACATTATGGTCACTGTGTGGCCTTCGAGAGCGCCTCACCCGTCAGAGTGTAAGAGCTCAGAACAGCTTTACAGCAGCCCATGGTCCACCAGGGGCCTGCCTTACACATATACAGACCCAGGGTATTAACTGGGGCACTGAGGAGATGCTCAGAGCTCAGACATAGGGGGAATGGGGGGGGGAAGGGGGAGGCAAGGAGAAATGATGCAGGGACAGAGAAGGTGGGTTCTCCAGCTCAGTGCCCCCCAGTGGCAGTGCCAGCCCCCATTTGGCATGTGGTGGCTTGTCAGGAACGAGCCTCCTGGAGGGAGCTGGTGCTCACCTGTACCTCAGTACACCTGCGCTCACAAGCCTGTCTCGGCTACGTGGACATCTCTGATGCACATGTGTGTAGAGTGTGTCCCAGAGGCAAGGACACCCCAGCGACAGTGAGCACACCCAGGCCACTAAGGTTGGTTTCTAAACACCATTCTCCGTAAAAGCAGCCAGGGCTGTTTGGAGGAGTGCCTGTTCCTGGGACTAGGGCAGGGTGCAATCCAATGTGCCGGGCTCATCCTGCTGGGCCAGAAATTACCGAGAGGCCCATGCAACCCTCGGGATGCGTCACGAGAACCCAGGAGCAGCTTATGGTGACTCCCGCTGCAAAAACCTGGGGCAGTTTCAGCAGCAGAATAAAGATTAGTGGGCAAGATCCAGGGGAGTAGAGGAGGAAACCACAAGGCCATGGCGATATCGGCGGCGCAGGGATGATGAAGGGCTGGATGAAGGAGCGAGCGCGTGATGGGGACGGTGCTTCCTTCCCATGCAATGCCCTTGCCCAAGAGGAAACTCGGTGGATAAACGCAGATGAGAACTGGAACCTGTTCGCCGGCTCAGAGTCTCCCCAAGCGCTCACCACACCCGGCCAGCCACTGCTCTGGAATCCTCGGGAGGAACTGGAGGCCGACATACCCACAAAGCACATGGGAAAAACAGCTTTTAATGAAAACTGGAAAAGTGAGACAGAACACAACTCCAATTTGTAAATCCCTTCCAAGAGGGATGTTCACACACTGTCCCATTCTCGGCCACGGGGCCGGCCCCAGCCCCAGGCAGGGCCTGTGGGCCCACCGTGCAGCTGAGCGGCTGAGGGTGGGGAGCCAAGGGTGTCCTGTGGGTGGGAACTCATGGTGCTGGGTCAGCAAGGGCTGAGGGGAGGGCTCAGGGCACCTCAGGAGCTTGATGGGGAGGCGTGTGTGGTCCCCAAAGCCCCCCGAGCAGTAGCTGGTCTCTTCCTCTGCCTGGTGCAGGCTCAGCCGTCCAGCATGGGTCCCAGCAGCTTCCCTGACCCCACATTCGGTCCTCGGGGGCCTGGCAGCTTTCAGCAGGGACAGCAGACATGGCTCAGATGCGGGCACCCTGAAGCCTTTTATGAGCTGGAGGGTCCCTCTCAGGGAACAGAGATGCTGTCTCCTCCACGGCCCTGGCGGTGACGTGTGGCGGATCCCAAAAGACCAGCAGGGCTTGGGCAGCTTCAGGGGCCCTTTCTGCCTGCTGTTTTGGGAACTGCAGGGGGGGAGACTCAGCATGAAGACCCTGTGCCCAGCTCCCCCCGGGCCTA